AGTGAGCCACCTCCTGCCCTTGCCTTTGTGTCTCAGAGGAGCAGAGGTAAAAAAGTCCTGGGCCCTACAAGGCCATTTAAGGAAGGCTGGCTGCTGCCTGCCCTCTCTGCCAGGTGGTTATGGAAATCCCTGTTTGCTCTCCAGGGCTTTTTATTGGGTGAGCTTTTTCTTCTGAAATGCTCACCTTAGTGTCTATTACACATTCCCTTCCAAGTGTAGCCTCAGATAAGCCAAATGCTGAAGCAATCAGCTCTCACATCTCCCAGAAGCTGCCAAAACCCTAAAATCCCCGAGAGGCACCTGTCACAATCCACACTCAGCCTTGCTGGGTTTCCACTCCTCCTCCTTACTCAACCCTATCTCCATTGAGGTTAGGAGGCTTTCAAGGAGGGGCATGAAAGCAATCAGTAATGGCTGGGTAGGATAATCCAGTGAGGAAGCATGAGAAAGAGCCCAGTTTGAATTTCATCTACTAGACCTGTGACTTTGGATAAGTCACTTTATTTCAATGAGCCTCAGTTTGCCCATCTGTAAAATGGGGACAGGAATGGTTATAGGTTTGGTATGAGAATTAAATAAGCATATTTAGTTCTCTAATGTGAGTGCCCAACGCCAGGCTAACCCAGGGGTTACAGCGGATACAAAACATGAGTCTGGGACAGGCATGGTGGCTCAGGCTTGTAATCCTAGCACTCTGGGAGGCCAGGGCAGGAGGATCGCTTGAGCTTAGGAGTTTGAGACCAGCCTGAGCAAGAGTGAGACGCTTTCTCTAATAAAAATGAAAGAAAATTAGCCAGGCATTGTTGGTGGTGAGGCTGAGGCAAGAGGATCACTTAAATCCAGGAATTGGTTGTTGTGAGCAGGGCTGAGCCCAGGGCATTCTAGCCTGGGGCAACAGAATGAGACTTTGTCTAAAAACCAAAAAAGAACATAAATATAAAAGAATGAATGTCAAGAAAGGAAATAGAATCATTGAATGGTAGCTAATATTTCTTCGGAATGTAGTAGACTCTCAAATTTTGAATGAGTGAATGAACACATGAATAAATCATCACTTTGACTTATTTTTTCCTCTCCAATTCTCTATGACCTCCAACCAGCCCTTGAGATTGAGTGTAAATGGCAGGGAAAAATTCGTTCTGTTAGAACTTTCTAATATGCTCTTGAAGGCACTCTGTAGCACTGTGTCTTGGGGATAGCGTGTTTTACGTGCTTCCGTCTGAAAAATGTGGAAGGCAGAGTGGGGAGACCTCAAACCTGAATCCGGAAATGGGAGGCCAGCTAGTCATTTTTCCAATTAAAAAAAAAAACTGTGGTGCCCTCTCGCTTTGTGGCTAATTTCAGTTTCCCCTTTCTGTGCCCCAGCTTGTATGTGTTACTGTTGGGAAGCTTGTATGTATTACTGTTGGGAGGGCTTTAGGCCCCCTTCCTTTCTGCACTTTTCTTCTTCTTACCTGCCTCAATCTCTAATCCTCCACTTCCCCTGCAGGTCTTGGTAGCATCTGCTCCAAACTTAGAAGGTTCTTGAGTCAGACTAGACAGATTTAAATCCAGGTAATGTCTCTTGCAAGCCTGGGAATGTTGGCCAAGGACTTTCCTCACCAAACCTTAGTGTCCCCATCTGTAAAATGGGCATAGTAGTCCTGGGACATC